GTCCTCACATTCGGGGGGACCATATGCTCCATTCAGATACTTGAAATACTCACAGATTCCCCCATTTATGTTTGTTTTCCCAGCTTCATTCTATTTTAAAATTTTCGTTCCATTATCCATTTTTGCATCTATACTTTTTAAAAATTTTGTTGTACTAGTTCTGTTAGTAGCATTAAATGAACAAAGCAGTAGAATTTAATTTTAACTAATTACCTAATCTTGACACTTTCTGAGTATACAATCGGTACTGAGAGGAAATAGAACAATCTGATGGGACTAAATTATTTGAATAAAATTAAGTAAAAATATTAGTGATTTATAAAACTGTACCCATTAATAACATAATATAGTCTTGCTTTTAAAGGAATGAAAATTAATGGAAGACATTTTCCTTTCCACTAGCTTTGCACGAAAGAAATAATCTTCTTTGAATATCCTCCTCCTGTAAATCCCACTGCAAATTGTAGTCTTCACAGAACAGAATCATGGTGCCTAATCCTCCCCTTTTCATGGTTTAGTCCATACAAAGAGCAGAGCTGGAAATTGGATCTTTTGACAGCAGTTACTAAGCAACAGAATTTGGATGTTTTTAGTTAACATCCTAATATATCATGTAGCTGATTTGTTGAAGTTTGTGCATGTATCAACTGAGAGAGGTGGGCGCTTCAGAAGTGATCACAGGCAGGTCCCTGCGTGGCTGGGGGGCGGGCACTTGTTGTTTTTTTAATGCACTTTGTCTTTTGGCATTTGTATCTGTTTGGCACACAAACAAAGATGGTACACATCTTTAGTAGAACTTTCAAACCTTGTGACTTTTTACTTTATTAAGAATACCTCACTCTGTGGCTCATGTTATGTGAAAATGTAAGAATTTTTCCTGAAAAGCAGGGAGAACAAATAAAGGATTTTAAGGTCATTCCAGGAATCTTTAGTGCTTTGCCAAAAGTTTAGGTCCACTTCCTGAGGCAGTTTCATTAGAAGACAGCTAATGTTTGCTTGGTCTACTCCCAAGTTATTTTTAGAAACTAGAGATTATTACTGATAGCACTGATTTGAATTTGCTCATTTACGTTTTTATATGCTACCAAATATGATTAGAGTATGCTTTCAACTAATTGTTGACAGATTTACTGCATTAGGGATTTTCTAAATCATCAGATTCCTACTAACTAGGTACTTCACGCCAACCACTTCAGAATTGCGATGAACTCTTTCAGCCCCCAAAGGAGCAGAGAATTTGGCTTCACTTACATCATCAGAGCGCTAAAGAGGTTACAGAATATGAAGGACAGAATTTACTTAGAGCACGGTTTGCTGTGGCTTGTGATTCTGAAAGGCGGGTTAACGTGGAGCTAAAGCTGGTGTGTTCCCATTTATATTCATGTAGACTCCAGAGTCTGCAGCTGCTGCCGCTCCCCTACACACAGGTGGCTCCCAGCTGGTCAGAAGATTCCAGGAGTGGGCTGTGTGCCTTGAGAGCTTGCAGTGTCCTTGAGGACCACATTCAGACCTGCCCCTCACCCCTGTGTGTCAGGAGCCCCATGCCTCCTTTTGCTCAGCGCTTAGAGTGCTTCCAGCCTGGTCTTGCCTCTAACCCAGGCTCCCCATGTTCTAGGTTGTCTCTTATGACCCCTACCTACCTTTGCACATGAGAGAGGTGGTGCCAGAGAGTTTAATGACAATCTCATTATGTCCACAGCTAGAAATAGACTATGGGATTCTGTTTTCTACACATATCCCTCATCTTCTAGACTAGTCCTCATTACGTCCATGTTGTGCCACTCCTCTTCACACTTTTTCTTTCTTCAGTATTTCCCATTTTTTCCTTTAGCTTTCTCTGTCAGACTTCTCACCCAACTTTAAGACTATCTGTGTAAATATATGTATATATTTAAATCTACATACTGATAATTTTACTTGCTCTACAGGAAACTCCCTGATAAAACTAGGGTGATCATATACTCCAGTTTGCTTTGAGCAATCCTGGGTTTTACCTGTGATGCCAGTGTGATTATTAATATCTCTCCCCTTTCAAGTGTCCTGGTTTCCGTGATAACTTATATGATCCCCTGCTGATAACCTCTCTAGCAAGAAAAGGCTTGAGCATCATACTTTCATCTTACTAAATGAGAGGATCAGAATTTAAATTAACTTTTTTAAAGAGTCTCTAAGATACAGCCATTAGCCTCAGCTTCAGCCCACGTGGCTAACTGTTGTGTTGGCATCATTTGACCTGGAGCAGGCACTGCATATCTGCTGTGTGCTGGCACTGGTGAGAAATTTGGAGCATCAGTTGTAGTATTCTAGCCTGTGCAATTTTTTGCATGTTTTCTTCTAGTACTCCTTTACAAATTTATCTACCTACAGTTGTGGTAGACCGTCCCAACCTAGTATATAAATGTCTCACATTTTAGTCTGGCAGCTAATCCCATATAGTTGCCGGTCAGATCTGAGTATCTTCTTAGTGAATACTCTGCTGGGGCTTGGGCCAGGAAGCTGAGAATGGAAGCAACTGAGATTAGGCAGAAAACATGAATCCAGAGAAGAGTGATGATCTTATATTACACTAGTGACTAGATAAGGAAAACAGTATGTAAGAAGTGAAAGGGGTGTGTGTATTTAAATTAGAGTGCAGTTGCTACCCAAAGGAGTTTCAGTTGACTGGTCAACTGAAACTGGTCAAGTTACAACTGGAATTGCACTGCCTTTGTCATGGATAGTATGTTGTTAAGAGTTACCTGTGAGTGCTCCTCTCCCCGTGATGCTAATTAGTACATTAAGAGCTGTCTGTAAAAAAAAACAACAAAAAAAAAAACAACTACTTTACATTGAATGACTGCTGTAGGTATTTTTTTTTCTAAAATGTTATACATAGACCATGTAGTCAACTGTGAAGTGGTTTGTAATGCTTCATGAATCACAATACCTGAGATAAGTTGGTGAGACTACATAGCAATTTGTCATCAATTTAGGCCCAAGCAATGTCCTCAAGGTCCCTGTAGCCATTTAAACTCTACATTATTTTTGAGAAGGGAGAAGGGCTGGTTTGGGGAAAATGTAGAAAGTGGTATTCCGGGCCCCTTTGTCTCTAATCTATGATGTTACAGTTTGATAGACAGAATTAAATACTTGCATCAGGGCTTTAATAGAATTCTGAAAAATATTTTTAAGAACAAAGCATTATTTTCAGTGACTCCTTGAAATCACCTGAGTTGATAGGATACCTCATTGGCTGCTGTATTGGTTCAGTCTTCAATAAATAACAAAGAGCCCAGCCAGTGTTGCTCAGCGGTTGAGTGTCGAGCTATAAACCAGAAGTTCACTAGTTTGATTCCCCAGTCAGGGCACATACCCAGGTTTCAGGTTCAATCCCCATTCGGGGCACATGTGGGAGGCAACCAATCGATGTTTCTCTCTCTAAAATAAATTTGAAAATAAATTTTAAAATTTTTAAAAAAGAACAGATCATCTGTAGCTAACTTGAGGTCTAAAAAATTAAAATTCAGCATATCAAAATTATACCATGTAAGACCTAGTTTTTAACAAAAGTAAACAAACATTTTAAAAGTCTATTTACATCTCTTCTATTTATAAGTCTAGAAAAATTTAACAATTACTTAAAAGAGGAGTTTTACAGTTTAATTAAATTTCTTTAAATATCTTAAACTGTATTTTCACATTTAAAATATTTTATTTTCTCTTTGAAGTACTTTAGTTTGTCTAACAAAAAACATTCTAAGTTTCAAAGTAAGTATATAATTACATTTATTTAATAATAAATTAAATTAAAACATAAATATAGTTAATCTTATATTATCTTTACCATTTGCAAGGCTATTAAAATTATCTTTTACCTTCCAACATAAAATTAATTATTCAATTGCATATTTTAAATAGAACTAGCAAGGCTAATCTAGTAATCTAATATGGTAAATTTTCTTAATTGTTACAAATACTTTAAAGACCAAATATACACAGGTTGTCTTTAAACTTAATATGAAAAATATTAATACTGTATAGTTAAAAGATACCTGCCAAGTAATATTATGTCACCCCAAACAAGATGGGAGGGAAGGTGGGTTTCCATCTTGGTGCACTGAGGTTACTTATCAACCAGAGATTGGGCTGCGACGCAGGAAATAATTTTATAGAGGACACCAATGAGATGCACTGAGCCCCAATTATAGTTGCTGGAAAAGGAACCCAACATTTATAAAAAGGCCGGCCTCAACGCCTTAGGTGCTTATATTCAACTTACACATAAGGTGTAATCTCCAAATAAAGAGAAAAGTATTACTCTTCCATCTTATTTCATTGCAAATTAATTCTTCTATCTGGCTTGAAATTGCTACATCCTTATCAGGATACAACTTCCTTCACTGCTTGGTTTAATTTCCATTTCTTTGGCTGTCATAAGACATGTACTATTATCTTTCATCTGGTTCAAAAGGTAGAACCAGATCTATCTGATCCAACTTTAATTATTCTGTAAATACTTTGACCATTATGGTCAGATTTGAGTTGACAAGCTTCTGTTCTTTCAATGTTATTCCTGCTTAACAGGGTCACAGTTCTTACAGATAATAAAATGACATCCAATTTTATTCTACATATCCCTTGTGGCTTCATCTGGCCCTTGAGTCACAACACTAAAACCGTGTTCTTACAAAGAGAGATAGGAGAGAGCTTTGTGATAAATGTGATGGGATTTATCTGTTCTCTGCATCCCAGGTAGGACATAGCCATGATCCAGTTGTATCATCTTGGGAAAGTCATTTAACTGCTTTGGGCCTCGGTTTTTTTCATTCTTAAAATGCAAGAACTCTTTTAGTTCTAAAATCCTATTACCTTTTAAATTCTAATCTAGTGTAGTCTGAAATATTGGTGTTTTACTGTGCTTTGTTTAGGCATTGTTCAAGAATTAACTAAATTTTATCTTCTTGGAAATTGTCATAATTATGGAGAGCAGTGAGATAATAAATGGTTTTGCTTTCTTTCAGATCTTTGATGATGCATACAAATCCCAGCTCAGTTGTGTAGTTGTGGATGACATTGAGAGACTGCTTGGTGAGTCATAACGTTTGCTATTATACTATCTTTGCCACATTATAGCCAATGTCTCACAAGTTATAAGAGAAAAATAACAGGTATTTATAAACTCTAAGGCAATAGAAATACCTTTGTCTTATAAGAAAATATAACATTATCTCTTCTCTCTCCAGTCAATGATGGTATTCATGTTAAGTATGCCTTATGACTGTAACTCCATTATAAGCTGCTTTCCTCTAAGGACTCCTGCCTCATAATATTTTGTATCTTCTACAAAGTTCCCTGCCCATAATAAATGATTAGTAATTTTTGTCGACTGATATATTTACTGCCTGTAGCTCAGAGGTTCCACTTATGAACATTGATAGAGCTAATGAAAGAAGGGTTTATGATTGGAGTGAGAAAACACTTGGGGCAGAAGCTGCAAGCTCTCTGTTACCTCAGTTTCTGCTCTTATAAAACAGAGACTGTATCCCTTCCTTACTTATCTCATATAGTAATTGTAAGACAAAAATGGTATGATAATGTTGAAAACATTCTGAAAGTTAAAAGTGCTCTATAGTAATTTTAAACAATATTTATTGAACATCTGTGTTCAAGTGCACACCTACAGAATATAGAGATGAATAAGGCAGTCCTTGTACTCAACTCATAAGGTATAACCTATAAATAAATTATAACAATGGCTCAGTGTGTTGTAATAAACTCATTTGAAATTGAACCCACCTGAACTTAATAAATCTCTGAAAATACTATCTAATGCCTGATTAATCTCTTCTTCCTTAAGCTACCCACACTGGTGTAGTAATGATTTCAAGTTAACTGTCCTGACTACGTTTTCCCCATGATTTTCAGACTTGCTTTGGGTCCTCATTTATTTTTCTGTTTCTTAAGGCAATATTTGTTATTTCCTAAGGCAAAGCAGGTATATCTGTGAGATCTTTTTAAATTAATAGTTTTATCTAGTGACCTGGGTTTTTGGTCTGCTATTTTTGATACATTTTAGCCCAATTTATAGGATTATTTCTTTAAAAGCTTTTAGGCACATACTCATAGCTCTGTAAATTCCTTTATCAAAACACAATTGAGATGTGTGGTCATAGCAACACTACTATGTCAGGAATGTGTGCCCTCTGAGTATATTTTCACTTGTATGAAGCTATCTGTACTTGTTTGTTCATTTACTCAACAAGCATTTGCTGAGCCCTTACTGTGCTAGAATTCTTAGGTCTCAGAAAAATAAGATGTTGTCTGACGTTATAACATATATTGGCAAAAATTAATGCAAAGCAGAACGTGCCATTGTTCTGGATAATCAGAAAAGGGAAGGATCACTTTTGACTTCAGAGAGCTGATGTCTGAAGGTAGCTCTAAGCACAGGGCAAGGGTGCATATACATATGCAGAAAAAGCTAAGGAGTTGGCATTTGTGCAAAATATTGAAGGATTGGTAGAAATTTAACAGGTGGTAAGTTCTTTTAGAAAGTTCTTTATTTTTCACCACCTGAGGACCAGTCTTAGAGGCTCTGATTTCTTGGAAATGCTTAGTAAATACATTTGGGGTTTTTCTCCATTAAAAATAACTGTCTCTGAATATGTCTACATGAACTCAAATGTATATTTAGAAGCTTTTTTAAAAAATTTACAGATAAGAGTTGATATATTTTACGCATTGAAGTTATTGAAGATATTTGTTTCTTATTGTCATTAGTTGCATGACTCTTTAGAACTGCGTTTGCTCTTGATGTAGAAAAATCTGTTTGTATTCTGTGCATCAAGTCCCTAAACGTGGTAATGTTTCTCTTCCAGATTATGTCCCTATTGGCCCTCGATTTTCTAATCTGGTATTACAGGCTCTTCTTGTGTTACTGAAGAAGGCTCCTCCTCAGGTAAAAATAATATAAGGAACATCTTCACAGAGTTTTTCCAGTAGATTGCATATAATGGCACACTCTCTCTAAAGTTATCATAGGTTATCATAAACATATACAATTCTGTTGAGGAATTTTGAAAGGTCATCAGGCCTGGCTTTCTGTCTTAAGATAAATGATTTTCTTAACAATCAGAGAAGTTTTTCATTCCTTTTCTGAAGATTTATAAATCCCATAGTTTCAATTAGTAGTTGTTTTGTTTTTTAAGTTCCCCATTATATAACACATCTTTACCTCCCTTCATCTCCTATGAGAGATTATAATATTAATGTGGAAGGAATTAAATCCATGTTCTCATTTGTTTCATTTTATCATGTCATAGGTTTTTAAGAATTTTTATTTGGGGAAATTTATTTCCTAGGGTAGATTTTTATTTGCATTTTTTCTTTTTCATTTTAACAGATGAATTTGAGTTATTTCTCTTGTGGCATGTGGCCTATTTAAGGGGCGAGTTTGCAGCCGGACTCTTGGTTCATGTGGCTGCATTTTTACTGATGTGGCTATTGGAGACAGGTGGTTTGATAGCTTAACACATTTAAAACTACCCTGTGAGGGTTGGTTAAATATGTTAATTATGTAGAGGCTGCCAGAGCACGTTTGGCTATGACACAAGACACGAATTCTCTTGATTGATTTTGTGTGCTGTAACCTCGAAGAAATGCCAATCAGAGGCAGATACAAAGGGGCTGAGTACTAACTTGAAAAACATCTTAATGTCTGTATGGGAATTTCATAATTGAAGTTAGAGATATAAACTAAACTGTATGGAAAATATTTAATATTAAGCTGGTAAATCTAAATTTTTTTATTTTAACAGTTAAAATTGTGTGTGTGTATGTGTTACACCTAAAGAAAAGGATTTGTCTTGATTTTTTATGTTTTGGTTTTTTAATTTCTAGAATAGTGAAAAGAAACAACCTACAACAACCTTGAAATTTTACTACATACTTGCATTGTGAAAGGATTTTTTAAAATTATCTTTCCATAAACTATCATTCCCAGTGATTAGGGTTTTAACTTATACTTAGATTGACGGTAGAAAAGCGAGAATGAGAGGTGACTGCTAATTGGTATGGGCTTTCTTTTTGTGTGATGAAGATGTTCTAAATTGATTGTGGTGATGATTTCACATATCTGAGTGTATACTAAAAACCATTGAATTGTACATTTTAAATCTGAATTCTGTGTTATGTAAAATATATCTCAATAAAGTGGTTACCCCCCAAAAGAAAGTGATTTCAGAAACTACTTAAATAATGAAGGAAGGATTATATAAAAAGCTAGAAGTAAGGAGTGAGCACCCAGGGCACCTGGCCCAGCTTGGGAGAAATCTTAGAAACAAGGATTGGATCATTAAAAAGGGATGTGGAAGGCATTTCTCTTAGGAATGAAAAGGAAGGATATAGGAATAGGTAGAAGTAAAAAATAGATCTGGTCGCTTTAGTGACTGGAAATGGCAGGGAGTCTCATTTAAGAGAATACCAGCCTGTCATTAATCAGAATTTGGTGACTCTGACCTGGACTGCTAGATGACCTCCTGTGTAAGTGAATCAGTGTCAGAAGAAATTAATATTTGAAATATTTCTTGGTATATATTTAACAAAATTAAAATATGCTTTCTCTGTATCACCTTGTTCTTTAAAATTAGTTTGTATTCTCTCAGGAAAATGGGAAGATTACAGGGTGATCCAGTGTCAAGAATATTTGTCATTCTAGGGCAGAAGCATTTAGGTTTTTTAGATATTTTCAATTAAATATTAAGAGTATATGAATTTGAATTTATAGAAATACATAGACTGGTAGAAAGCTATTATTTTATCACTGTCAAGAAAACAAAAGTTGTGGGCATTTTTCTTTAAAAACAGGAACTGTACATGTATACAATAATCATATCTGCCACGGAATCCTTAATTTTGCATTTGTTGTAATTCCAGCTTTCACACAGAAAAATTGTGTGCATGTGTGCACATGCTCAAATAAAAGAATCCCTTCAGGGGCATTATGTTGTTATGTATCAAGATATTCTCTTTTCTACTACCCCTCCCCCACTCCTCTCCGTCGTTGTAAATTGGCTTATTAAAACTGGTTCACAAGCCTTCCTTTTTTCCCTTTGTGATTGCTTCGGTCTTGGATTTTCAGGGTAGGACTAAAAATTCAAGTCAGATTTCAGTTACTAGGATAATTTTCTTTGAATTTAAAATTTTTCTAAGTAAATGCATAGATTTTTTTAATGAATCTGGTATTCAGTGGATTTGCTTTAAATTTAGCTGGAGAATTAATTTCATGATTGATTTATTAGCCCCTTAAAAGTATAAAAAGTGGTATCTGTAATTCATGAAGACTGAAAAACATCATCACATTTTGTTTAGCATCTTTTTAAAACCAATTAAAAGCTTTTCTAAAATGGATTGAACAGGAGAAAATAAAACATGTTCCCTAGGTCTTTATTTCAATCAAGTTTCCCTGTGTTGTGCAGGAGAAGAGATCGAGGGGGGATAGAAAAATTGAAAAGGGCTGTCCCAGCAGGGAGCCACGCCGGAGAAAAGGGCTGCTCTGAGAACTCAGCAGCAGCAGCTAAGAAAGCTCCCAGCCTGCTTCATCTACATGCAGAGTCACACAAGGCATGGGGGTGCTCACCGTCAGCACAGAGGTTTCACATGTGCTTCCCTGCTGATTCCTGTGAAAAGCTAACAATTGGCTTGGAGGGTAAAAGACCACTGCAGTTCACCCTCCCTGAGCTGGATGTACAATTTGTCCAGTGTTAGGAAATGTCCGGCTTAGCAGTGAGAGGCTTGAAGACACCCCTCCTTCCAGTGAGAGTCCTAAAGCCCGCTCTTTTACTTGATGGCATTGGGGCTCTTTTCAAGTTTCACAGATTTATGGAAGTTGAGGGGAATGCGCTTTTCACAGTCAGGAGAATGAAAGCCTTGAGCTTAATGTCAAGGCAGCTGCAGGAATGAAGCCGTAAGGCCAGGTAGACCTTCCGCAACCTGCAGCACCAGTGGCTTGATTGTTTTCCTCGGTTGCTTCTGGTGCCTTCTCTTTGGGTGGGGATGGGAGAGACAGAATAAAACGCCTGAAAAGGAACTGCTGGGGCTGTAAATGACATGACTGTCCAGTTTCCTCAACAAGTGTGAGTAGGTAAGCCCATTGACCTGACCGCTTAACGCTAGGTTTACTTGACACTTTAGGAATGAAATTGGAAGGCCACATTTGTATGTACCAGAATAGCCTTGTAATTTATGGAGAACCCATAAGGCTATAATAGAGCTGGAAAATTCCTTGTTCAGTTTAGTGCTTCCCTACCTTTTTCAGATCATGGCATATAGAAAATGATAACATTTGATGTTATGCCTGGGTAAAGGTATGAGGCCACTCACTGGCCAGAGATGCAGCCACCCCAGCCTTCCCACAGGCAGATGAGAATTGATATCTTAGTCCACCTATAACTTGTTTGCAGCATACCAGTTGGAAGACTCTTTAGAAAATCACTCCGAATTCACAGCACTATTACTGAAGTAGAACTCAGACCTAACAGAGTTTTAGCTAAAGTACAAAGTTGTTGGAAAAAAATGACTTCCTCACTGTTCTGGCACCTCAGAATATTACCTAATAAGAAAGAAGTGAAGTTTAGAGCTGAGATGGGCATAACATGTGAACCAAAAAGACTGTTAGTAAACCCCTGATGGGAACTCAGGCAGACATACTTGTTTCCCCATGGGTTTCATTTTAATGTAACTGGTCTCTAGACAAGATTGCTTTTTATGTAATCTCATGACATCTTTGTACACTCTTACTTCAGAGATGTTATAGGAAGTCTTGGTAATATTAAGCAACTCTTCAAGCTTAGGGTTGCTTTAGCAAAATAAGCAGATAATGGAAGAGACTCCAAGTTGTGCAGGCCTAAACATGAGTATCTCCCCATCGATCTGTTCAAAATTAACTCTGGCTAATGACTACAATATGACTCAAGAAGATATATAACCACTTTAGGAAAGAGGTTTAGTCATTTTGCCACACATATTAATCGTAATCACTCCTATAGTGGTGACTTTTGCATTGTACTTCTTCATTGAAAAATAATGTACAATGCTTGACAGTTTAGTGCCCAGTTTTCCACTTATTAAGTCAATGACATGAGATGGCTGCTATATCTTATAAAATTCCCTATAAATATACTTTCTTAGTAGTAGATTGTCTTATAAAGTTCTGTGTAAATTGGACTTATATGTAATACATGTACAGTCAGGCGCTGCATAACTTTTTGGTCTATATATAGAACCACATATACCACAGTGGTCCCATAAGGCTATAATAGAGCTGGAAAATTCCTATTGCCTAGTGACATTATAGCCGTCACACAGTAGCACAACGCATTACTTATGTATTTGTAGTGATGATGGTGGAAACAAACCTACTGTGTTCCTAGTTGTATAAAAGGATAGCATATATAATTACAGCCATAGGCTCTGCCATCTAGGTTTGTGTAAGTGTACTCTATGATGTTTATGCATTGACAAAATTGCCTAATGATACATTTCTCAGAACATACCCCTGTCATTAAGTGGCACTTGACCGTATATGTAGAACAATTTCAAATACATTAAAAAAAGGTAAAAGAAATTCCGTGAATCCCTTTATAAAACATAGCTACAGATATTTGCTGAACAAAATCATGTTTTCAAAATTGGGTTTTTTGGTAGAGCACATCTGTAATAGGTATTAACAAATACCAGAAATTATAAGACATATATGTCATTTTCAGATCTCAAAATTACCTAAATTTTATTCATCAGGGACATGTTAATGTTTCAGAGACAAAATATTCTCTCAGAATGTCTTTACCTATCCCCATTGCCTTAAATATATTACTGTGAGATGGTATCAGTGTTAGAAAAGTATTGATATAGTATTCCATGGGGCCATGAATCTAGTTATGAGCACCGTCTCTCTGCAGA